TAATTTAAAGGGAATACAGGCTGGAGTGTGTCAGGGATGAGAGAGACGGCATAAAAATATTGAATTAATGAATTGAGGTGGAGGAATACAAAAGGAGAAGAAAAGATTCTGTCCATACCTGATCATTCCTGCTTCTGCCAGTGTGCAACTTCCCAGCTACGTCTCCAATCAGCTCCTGAGGACAAAGCAGGATTTCTGTCAGCATCTCTGTGTGCTAAACAGGACAATCCACATGAGCACATCTCCCTGCCTGGAAGGGACTCAGCTCCAGGATCCTGTCAGTAACCTGGGGTGTGTTCTGGGGAAGGGCAGCTTTGGCTTCTGTGCTTGTACAGTGCCACAAAAGGGGGCTTGGAGACCCTTGGCTGTGCCCAGGGGGTTCAGTGCCAGCAGCTCCAAAGGGATTTGCCAGAGGGACAGAGGGACAAGGCCTTAATGTCAGGCAGAGGGTCAGGAACCAGAGGCTGGAGGAGCCAAACCTTCAGCCTGCGCTCGTTGGCAGTGTGGATATCCTCATCAGTTGGTTTCAGCACAAAGACTCCCTTGGACCATTCCTCAGAGATCTGCAAACAGCACCAACACCAGTCAGCCACAAGAGTTATTAAATCCAGGGAGGCTGCTCTCAGGTCAGGAGCCATTCATTCGCCTGACAGTTTTTGAAGGAAAGAAATACCTTTTCCAGGCCACCCAGGATCTTCTCCAGCTCAATCTTAGACAGGATCCCAGACTTTTCCAAGGCTTTGGCATAAGCCATGCTCCCCTGGATGTCCACCTCAGACAGCCTCTGGTCATAGCTGATGGAAGCATTGAGCATCTCCATGATGGGATCTGTGCTTCCACTGAATCTTCCACCCCAGAGTTTATTCCCCTGAGAGAGATAATAGCTAATTAAAGAGGCCTAATGACTCCAGATAAATCCTGTGCAGTAAATAACATCCCGTGGTCCATTTATCTGATACAGAGTCCATGCTCAGCCCCTTTCAGTGTGACAGCACTGACCACAAAGTCCCCTGGACTTCAGGACCTCTGGCAAGTGGTTGAAGAGCTGGAGAACACATCACTGTCAGTGTTATTTACCCCTGAGCTCCAAGGTCTGGCGCAGGAATCCTCCAATATATTTTACTTCTGGAGTAAAATATTTTACTCTGCTGGGAGTCCTTGAAATTGAAATCAGGGAAAGGTGCAAGACCAGCAGAAATTTCTGTTTTGAGGCCTTGTAAAGGGAGGAAAAACCAAGCAATCAGTAGGATTAAAGTGACATTAATATCCTCTAATCCTTTTTGTCAATCTTCTTTCATTGACAAAGAGCTGTGGGCCAGCACAGAAATAAAAGTGGAGTTTTCCCATCCAAGCCAGGATTCCTGTGGTGAGGTCACCCCCTGGAATGTGTCACCCACTCCAGGCAGTGACAAAGGCTTGTGCAGGGTTCCAGCTGTGCCCAGAGCAGGGTGTGTGTTGTGTGGGAGCTTCTCCAGCAGTGATTCAGAGCCTGGCTGCCCTCACCTGAGCTGTGTCAGCTCAGATTTTTGCTTGCCCAGGTAAGACAACCCAAGAAGTTTTCATTCTGCCAGGCTTGCACTGAAGTGGGTAAGAATTTTACTTGGGCAGAGACAATTTATCCAAGATTTCAAAAGCAACTTTCCAGTGCTACCAGGCACAAAGAGGAATTACAGGACACCTGAAGGAAGGGACTAAATACAGCTGCATTGCAGAGGGGATAATTACTAATGTACTTGATTTTTGAAACACCACTGGCAAGTTTCTTCTCATGCTGGTCGCTATAACCACCATGGACAGCAAGGAGCTGGCAGGACAGCTGGAAGCTGATCTGTGCCAGGGCTTTACCAGCCAGACAAAACACTGAAAAATGTTTTCCCTGGTGACTGTTTCCATGTCCCTGTGCCTGAAAGGACAACAGGACAGAGCCTGCAGAGGTGAGGGTGTAGCCATGTGTAAAAGGCAGCTTTGTTAGAAAGCTGAGGGAAGGCAGAGAGGGGAATCAGAATTGAAAAAGAAATGTTAGAGCTCCACAGCACTCATTTGGTGCACCCAAGAGCAAAATTAATGCTAAATTAAAGGCCGTTCCAGAGGCTCAGCACTTGACTGGGGACCAGGAGTATCCAGGTATTTAAAGCTTCCCATCAAAGCAAGAAGGGTGTCAGCAGAAACATTGCAACATACACATTTACAGTCCAGAAATCAAAGCCGAAATGTTCATTTTAGGCATCTCCAGGACTCTTTGGAGCAGTGGCTGTGCAGCCTGGCAATGACAAACACTTGAACATGGAGCAGATTTGGAGAGCAGAAAGTGAACTCGCCAGGATGCCCGGTCACGTCTGGGCAGGGAAGGAAACTGAAGACGCAGCTTTTGTGCCGAGCAGTGTTTGTTTGCACAGGCTGCTGGGAAGTGCCTGAGCGCGAGCCCCAGGCAGGAGTGGGGCCTGTCCCAGGAGACAGAGAGGCCCCGGGACAGCTCCGCTCGGCTGAGCACCCCCGACACCCCCGGCAAGCAAAGTTCGCTCACCTCGGCTGCTGCCATCGCGGCCGTGCTGGCTCCGGGGCCGCTGCGGGGCGGCTCCGGCACGGCCCCGCTCCCGGTCCTGCTCAGTCACGACCCCGATCCCAGATCCGCTCCCGGTTCCGATCCCAGCTCCAATCCCGGTCCCCGTCCCAGCTCCGGTCCTGATCCCGATCCTGCTCACAGTCACGATCCCAGCTCCGGTCCCGATCCCGATCCAGATCCTGCTCCCAGTCACGATCCCAGCTCCGGTCCCAGTCCCCGGGCCGATCCCAACCCCAGCTCCGGTTCCGATCTCAGCTCTGTCCCGATCCTGACCCCAGCTCCAATCCCTGTTCCAACTCCACTCCCGGTCCCAGCTCCAATCTCGGTGCCGATCCCAGCTGGATTCCTGGTCCCGATCCCAGTTGGACTCCTGGTCCAGATCCCAGCCCCGGTGCCGATCCCAGCTGGATTCTTGGTCTAGATCCGAGCCCCGGTACCGATCCCAGCCCTGGTACCGATCCCAGCTCCAATCCCGATCCCAGCCCTGGTACCGATCCCAGCTCCAATCCCGATCCCAGCCCCGGTACCGATCCCAGCTCAAATCCCGGTCCCGATCCGGGTCCCGGTCCCGGTCCCAGCTCCAATCCCGGTCCCGGTCCCTGTCCCGCTCCAACCCCGCCGCGCTCCCGGCGCTCCCGCAGCTCGTCCCGCCCGCCGGGGCGGGGAGTCCCCGGGCCAGCCCCGCTCCTGGCCCGGCTGTGCAGTGGCACGGCTTGTCCCTGTGTCTCACAGCACACTCAGGAACGCCATCCCTGTTTTCTTGTCCCCGTTCGGGGTTTGCTGTCCTTTAACCAGCCCCGGTGTCACATAGCTGGGAAGGATCCTAATCCAGGTCCTTGTCTGGAGCAGCAGGACCCTGCCAGTGCCCCCAGCTGCCTCTGGCGGCCCCACAAGGTCCTTTCGCAGCTGCATTTCCCGTGCAGTGCCCTCAGTATCCATCCGGAACAAGGCTCAGACTCTGCCTATAGCCACCGATTAATTCACTGCTTCTCAAACATTTCCACCCATGATTATTTGTTTTTCAGACTTGCAGGCTTGAGGATGCACAGACAATGTCTACACTAAGAAAAACTCCTTGAACAGTTTTGTTGCCAGATTCCTTCTTCTTCTGAAGTGCCTCACTTTTAATGTTTCTTTTTTTCATGTTCATCCTTTATGGATGTTCACACTCCAGCTTTGACAGGAGGTTGCTGAGGGTTTGGAAGAATGGTGAGCACGAGATTTACATCCAGAATGACCCAGCTGATAATCAGCCTAAGTGAATTCCTGGCTCCAGCACCTTCCTGTGGCCTGTAATGAGCAGGGGTTTGAAACCAAAACCCAAATCCCAATGAGTCAGAGGAGGGTGATGGTGAAAGTCTGAAGACACCATGGACCAAACTCTGTGGAGCTCCACAGGCCCCTCCAATCTAAAATATTTCACAATTTTAAGAAGAGGGTGGATGGGTGGGGAGTACCAGTGACTGTAAACTACTTATTTAAGAGACTAAAATGTGGTAGTCTGCTGCTTCCCCTTTCATTTTGGCCCTGTGCCACCAGCACAGGCCATGAGGGACAATGCAAGACTTTTGCTGCTGGGAGCAAGAGAAAATCTGTTCAGCTGAGGATCTGAAGAGAAAGAACTAGAAGATACAAACAGGAAAAATAAGGGGAGTGGCATGGATCAAGAGAGTTTATGGGAGGAAAAAGAACTGTGAGGGGGAGATGAGGAAATCTCTGTTCTTCTGACTCTGCAGGTGTTGAGTATTGGTGTTACCTGTAGCTTTCTTGTTCCTTTAGCCTGGCAGCTGAGTGTGCAAAAGTGATTTCCTGGCCACAGGTGACCAGTCTGGAGAGTGAGACAAGAGCTAAAACAAGAACACAGCAGGAAGGAAGGGAGCAAACACAAAGGAGGTTTGTGGAAAGATCATTTAAATGTGCTGTTTAAATGCCAAGTGAATGAATTTGTTTTAAGGCTGGAATAAGGAGAGATTGAGTGGTGGGAAGTTGGTAAAATGGAATTTTGCTGTTGCTGATCCTTCTTCCAGGTGTTAAAAGCACAAATGCTCCAAAGGTGCAAGCACTCTGTGTCTCCTGGGGTACTTTGGCTGGAGATTTAACTGCTGACAGTGTGTCCTGGCTGTGCTGCAGCCCTTGCCCCAAAGCTGGTGAGGCAACACCTTTGTTATTTCTGTTCCCTGTGTGTTCCAGACCTGCAGCTCTGAGTCAACAACGTGCTGCTGCCTCAGCACGGGGAGAAGGGGCTGAGCAAAGCTCCAGCTTTGCAAGGCTGGGGTGGGAAAGGAATTTTGCTGGGTAAAAAGAGACAATCCCCATCTGCCAGCATCTCCTGCAAGATACACATCCCCAGCTGCAAGGGAGGAGAGCCCACACCCTTCCAAACCTGGGCTGAGCTCAGCCCATCCTCACCCTGAAAAAACAAGACACAAGAGCAGGATTTCAGTGAACTACAGACACCCCAGTGTTTATTAACTCCAGATCAGTGGCACGGGCACTCTGCTGCAGGCACGGGATCTCTCCCCACACTCTAAGCCTGCTCCTTGAGCCTCTTGAGCAGCTCCCGCAGCTGCTCGATCTGGGCGGACACGCTGCTCTTGGCGGTGCCGCCCGCGGCCGTGTACTGCTCCACGCTGCTCAGCACGCTGAACACCTGCGCCACGTCGCTGCCAAACAGGGGGCTGGGGGCACAGGGGCTGTCAGGGGGCTCTGGGCTGCTGCGCCTGCCCAGGGCCTGGGCACAGGCTGGGGGAGTGAGGACAGAGCCTTTTCCCCAGGGGAAACGCTCCTGAGCTTCTGACATCAGCTTGGAGCTTCTGACATCAGCTTGGAGCTTCTGACAGCAGCTCCAAGGGGACACCGAGGGACTTCAGAGCCAAAGCCCTCTGGGGGCTTCCTGCTCAGGGCAGAGGTGTCTCCCAGCCCCTCCCAAGAGCTCCTGCCCATGCCCATTCCACCCTGCTGGAGTGGAGTGGAGGGGATGTTGTCCCCCTCCAGTGTTTCAGCCTTTGTGATATCTGAGGTTGAGGTGCTGCCCAGCCCAGGCACTTTGGGGAAGGCAGATGAGGGAGGCTGAGCCCTGCCTGTGCAGGGAAGTGAAATAACAGAGGTACAAACCTGATGCTCTTCAGGTCCTCCAGGCTGAGGTTGTTGATGGTGATGCCTTTGGTCTCGGCGAGGTGGACGGCCTTGCCAGCAGCAATGTGGGCTTGTCTGAAGGGCATCTGCAGGGGGAAGCAGAGGTGGCACTCAGTGACCAGGCAGCTGGGCTCCTTTTCCATGAGGAAAATGGATGTGCTACTTTCTCAGCTGGCCTTTTTTTCCCTTAGGGCAATGCAAGCTGAATCTGGCAGTGTTGGGGTGGAAGAGGGGAGGATTTAGGAATAAATTATAATCAAGTAATTTGGGTGTAAATCACTATGAAGTCTCTCAGGTAGGACTGCTTGACAGGCATGTAAAGGATGTGTTTTCAGCTTTCATGGTTGTTGACTGCTCATCACCCTGGGGCCTCATCCCAGCTCCTCACTGAGCAGTTCTGCATCCAAAGAAATCCCAGCTCCAGCTTTCCCTCTGGCACTTACTCCTTTGTGAACTAAGTAGAGAGCCAGGTCAGATGACAGGATCTCAGGGCTCAGTGCCTTCTCCATGTTCTCCTTGTTGATCTGCAGAAAGGAGGGGCAGAGGGAGATGTTACATATCATCTGCTCTTCCTGGGGCACAAAAGCTCTAAGAGGGACCAAAATGAGCAGTGTGACTGAGGCACTGAAGAATTTTCACTTTAGGACCAGTCTGGAGCCCTGTCCCCTGTGTTACTCACAGAATGTGCTCCATGTTCAATACTTAAAAGATGAATCCTTACCTGGAGGGTGGAAATCACTCCAGTGGCAACCTGGAGCACAGCATTCAGGGTGTCCACAACATCAAAGACAGCCTCCTTGTCCTCCTGTGTTGGAACAGTGATGGAAATGGCTCTGAGCCAGCCTGGTACAGCACAACAGGCTGAGCAGCCCCTGCAGCAGAGCAGGGATGTGATCCCAGAGGCTCCTGCCATGGCACTCAGGGTGTCACCTGCAGCATCCCCTCCCTCAGCCCCTATCCCAGCACAGAGCCAGGGGCTGTGCACAGAAATGGAGTGCTGGGACAGCTCAAGGGCAGGGGATGACTGTGTCTGCTCAGAGAGATGCTGTGGAGAGGAACAAGGGCTCTACCTGCAGGTCCTTGTTGTAGGTGCTTGGGAGTCCTTTGAGGACCATCAGAATTGCAGCCAGCTGCAGAGGGAACAGGAGAGGCAGGGAGTGAGGCACAGAGCAAAGCACAGCCCCAGGGCAGCTCCAGAACCATCCTAGTGATGGATTTCAGTCCCTTATCTAGGAAGGGTGACTGGGAAGGTGTCAGGAGCTGCCTCCCCCCGTGCTGGGAGGCTTTGGCTGTGCTTACCCACAAAGTCCCTCTCGCTGACGGCATCCATGCTGTTCAGGCTGATGGAAGCAAAGTCCAGCTCTGCAAGGAAGGGGATGGACACAGGAGGTCACACTGGCCCTGACAGGAGCCTGAATGCACCACGCTGCCCCAGAGGAGGTGACTGTGAGCCCTTGAGCAGTCCCAGCAACACAAACACTTTTAGTGGGGTTTTTGTTATGCAGCCAGACAGGCAGAGTGCAGCAGGGACTGCTCTTCCTCCCACCTCACTGGCACTGCCTGTATCTGCAGCAAAACTCCTGGGAAATGAAAGGCTCTGGCTCCAGGATGGGGCACTGTGGTGCCATTCCCTCCCTCCCAGGTGTGACAGGTACTCCCATGCCCCTCAGGATAACATTTACCACTGCGCAGCAGCTCTCTGTCGATTTCCAGGGGGTTTCCAGCCAGAGCGCCACTGCCAGGGGAGAAAGAAACAGAAATCAAGTAATCCTCCTTTCATATCCATCCAAAGCTGAGCTCTGGGAAGCAGGGAAGGCATTCCTGAAGTCTTTGCAGAGCAAAGCAAGGCCAAATGATCACACAAATAGTAGATCTTACCTTCCCAAAGGCAAGACATTGATCCTCTTCTTCACCTCTCCCAGGCGCTCAGAATCGCGGGTCAGAGCAACAGCATGGCTGGGGAAGGACAAGGGGGAGAGGGCACGTGAAGCAGGGAATGGCTCTTTGCTTCCCAGTCATTATCCTGCCATGCCTGGAGCCTGGGAACCCCCCTCAAACATGAGGAGCCTGGACAGAGGCAGGGGACACAGGGAGTTCCTGTTCCAGTTTGCAGGGCTCCCTCTGGTTTGTCACCAGCCCTGGCTGTCCCCCCAGCAGAGCAGGGCCCCGAGGCTGGAGAGGGTGGGAGGTGCTCACCTGAGCAAGAACTGGCTCCATCGGATGGGCTGAGCTTTCTGCAGGTGGGTGTAGCCAGGCAGGATCACATCGATTTCTCTGGGAGGGAAAGCACAGAGAGGTGAGCAGCAGAGGCAGCAGGGAGGGCAGGGACAGGGACAGGGACACAGCAGAGCTCCTGGCAAGGTCACAAACTGAGCATCTTTAGGCTGTGTTGTACTGAAGCCTGTCCATCTCCTGTCAGCCTTCAAGCCAAGCACACTGGGTTTAGCTGTTCCAGAGTGGTGAATCTGCCTTGGGCCTCCTGGAAAGTTGCCTGGAGCAGTAACCCCTCTGGGCAGGCAAGGATTCCCCAGGCCTCCCCAGGTCTGGAGTGTGAGGAGCAGAGCCAGACAGGGAGGTAACACAGCTGAGCTCTCTCTCCTACAGAAAAACCTGAAACATTTTGTTCCCTCCTTCTGATGGGTTTGGTGCCTTCCAGAATCTTGTGTGGACCTCCCACTTCAACTCCCTTGCCAGACATGAAGGAAAGTTTCTCTGAAGGATGAGGAAAGTTTCACAAGGGGCCATTGTGTCCCCTGGGCTACCCCAAACTGCCTGGCTGTAACTCCCTGCACAGGAGACACTGCTGCTGCCCAGTGGGGTCAGACAAAGGACAAACCAAAGAGTCTCCTGCCCCCAAAAGGCCAAAGTTATGGAAAACAGGGACTGAGGAAAAGGACTCACATGGCAGCACGTTCCACCAGGGTCTTAATGAGCTGCAGGAGGTGCGTGGAGATGATGGAGAGGGAATTCTTCATGAACAGCTTCAGGTCAGTCACAACCTGTGGGGGATTGGCCATAAAGAATGTCACATATGCAGTGAAAGCAAGGCAAACCTCTCCTTCTCCTGTGTGATGGGAAGGTGCATCTTCTCATCATTTGGTCATATTTCTGTGGTAATGTCAGCATTTCTTGCTCTCCAGGAAGAGTTCAGAGGCCACTCTGGACTGAGGTCTCCTGAAGTGAGGGAGAGGAGGAATACAGAAGAAGAAACAAAAAGATTCTGTCCATACCTGATCATTCCTGCTTCTGCCAGTGTGCAACTTCCCAGCTACGTCTCCAATCAGCTCCTGAGGACAAGAGCAGGATTTCTGTCAGCATCTCTGTGTGCTAAACAGGACAATCCACATGAGCACATCTCCCTGCCTGGAAGGGACTCAGCTCCAGGATCCTGTCAGTAACCTGGGGTGTGTTCTGGGGAAGGGCAGCTTTGGCTTCTGTGCTTGTACAGTGCCACAAAAGGGGGCTTGGAGACCCTTGGCTGTGCCCAGGGGGTTCAGTGCCAGCAGCTCCAAAGGGATTTGCCAGAGGGACAGAGGGACAAGGCCTTAATGTCAGGCAGAGGGTCAGGAACCAGAGGCTGGAGGAGCCAAACCTTCAGCCTGCGCTCGTTGGCAGTGTGGATATCCTCATCAGTTGGTTTCAGCACAAAGACTCCCTTGGACCATTCCTCAGAGATCTGCAAACAGCACAAACACCACAGTTACCCTGCTGTGCCTGGGGCTGTGAGTGTCCCCAGCAAATCCCAGCTCCTGGCATTCCCAGAAGTCTCATTCAAACTTTTCCATTCAGGCTGCTTGCTGCATCCTGATCTTCCATAGTATTGGTGGGATTCACTTCTCTATCCAGGACAACCCTGCACTGTTATGGAGGATTTAAATATTGCAAGGAAAAATTGAGTTTAAATATCAGTGATTTCTTTACCATCATCCACAAAGCTTTTCCTATAAAACATTGCACAGACTCACCATTGTCCAGGGTGGGTGATCAATAACAATGGATATTTTATAAAAGCACTTCTCTGCTGCCTCCTCTTCCCCCCTACACCTGCTATGCATTGCCTCCTGCCAAGCTGGGCAGCCACACTCAAAATTCCACATGCCAGCAGGAAAAGGATGTTCTTACTTCACACTGAAATGATTCCTAGTGACTGCTCAGTCTGAAGGAGACACGAGGACATTTAAAGGCACTGTTTAAAACAGCAAGATGCTGTCAGGTAAGGAAGGATTCATTCCAGCACACATGAGAGTTTGTGAAGGGAAGAAATACCTTTTCCAGGCCACTCAGGATTTTCTCCAGCTCAGTTTTGGACAGGATTCCAGCCTTCTCCAAGGCTTTGGCATAAGCCATGCTCCCCTGGATGTCCACCTCAGACAGTCTCTGATCAACAGTAATGGAAGCGCTGAGCATCTCCATGATGGGATCTGTGCTCCCCACAAACCTTCCTGCCATCATTTTGTCCCCCTGCAAGAAATGAAGAGACACAGAGTTATGGATATATCCCCTAAAAATCTCTTCATGTCATCCTTATCAAAGTAAAACTGAGGACCACCTCAGGAACGGTTTCATTCAGTCTATACCAGCAATACCCTGGACTTAGAGCATGTCACTCTCACTAGAATTTAGTCTTTGAGGTTACAAGTATGGCTTGGGATCCGCCAAGATATTTGAATTCTGCAGGACTCTGAAAATAAGCATCAGGGTGTGTGGTGCAAGGCCAGCATGGAACTCTTTTTTAAGGCAGCCTCTGACCCTTGAAATGCTCCAAAAAATCCCACTCTTTTAGGGAGACTAGAAGAAAATATTCAGCTGACAAGGAGCTGTGGGCCAGCACAAACCACACGCTCTAAGCCACCCTGTAACTACAAAGTGTCTGAAGTTACCGTTTGAAGCAGCTCCAGAGCCCACGACTTTGTCACATAAAATTAGGATAAAACCGGCAAAATTAGGATAAAACCGGCAGAAAGGGAGACCTGGGTGCCTTTCAATGAGACGCAAAGGGAAGAGAAAACCCCAAAGCAGCCCCAGAGGGGCTCGCAGGTGCGCGGCGCCGGGCGGGCGGCGGAGCTACCATGGACAGCGGGCAGGGACCGCGGCTTTCCCGGGACTGGAGCCGGGAGGGCAGGAGGAGCCTGCGGGGCAGGTGAGGGCTCGGGGGGCGGCAGCTCTGAGTTTGTCCGCCAGGGAAATGGGGGAAAAAAACCAAAGTTTTGCAGCTTCTCGCTGGACAGCCAGTGATGGGCAGAGGGTAAAAGGTGCTGCTGGGAGGGAAGGGCTGGGGTGGGAAGAGGTGTCCAGGAACATTTTCGCTGCCGGGATCAGAGGTGGGACGGTGGATTATTGCAGCAAAGACGTTCGCTGTGCCCTTTTCCATTGGAAAACCACTCACAGAATCATTAAGGTTGGAAAAGATCAGTGAGTCCGACACTGCCAGGACCACCCCTAACCCACGTCCCCAGGACCACACGGACACCTTTCCTGAACCCTCCCAGGGACGCTGATCCCACCCGTTCCAAACGGAGCAGAGAAGGACCCGCAGCAAAACCAAGCTCCCGCTCACCTCTGCTGCCATTTCGGACGACGTTTTGCTCGTTTGTGCAGCGATCCTGGCGCTTGGTGCAACCTGCGGGACAGCGCGGAGATGCTCAGCTGCCGCCGTGCGCGCTCCCGGTCCCCCGGCACCCCTCCCGGAGCGCTCCCGGTTCCCTGAGCATCACTCCCTGCTCCGCTCCCGGTGCACTCCCAATTCCCCGGGCACCGCTCCCGGTGCGCTCCCAATTCCTTGGGTGTCGTTCCAGGTGCGCTCCCGGTTCTCTGGGCATCGCTCCCGGTTCCCTGAGCATCGCTCCCTGCTCCACTCCCGGTGCGCTCCCAAGTCCCCGGGCACCGCTCCCTGTTCTCTGGGCACCGCTCCCTGCCCCGCTCCCTGTCCCCCGGGCATCGCTCCGTGCCCCGCTCCCTGTCCCCCGGGCATCGCTCCGTGCCCGCTCCCGGTTCCCCGGGCATCGCTCCGTGCCCGCTCCCGGTTCCCCGGGCGCCGCTCACCTGCTCCGCTCGCAGCCCCGGCCGCTCTGTGGCTCGCTGCTCCCCGGCCCCGCTGCCCCGCTTTTACAGCCCTCGGCTCGGGGCTGGCGGCTCGGCCCGCCCCGGGGCGGGGTGTGCCCGGGCCCGGCCCCGCTCGGGTCCCCCCCGTGTCCCCCGTGTCCCTTCCCAGCCCCGCGCTGCGGCTCGGGGACGGGCGTGCTTTGGACAGGGAGGCTTGGGAGGGATGCTGGGGTGATGCTTCTCAGCCGGCGTGGCTGCTGCGCTGTGCACAGGTCAGGAACATCCTTGGAATGCTTTTCTGGCAGTATTGATCTCTCTGTGTCTCACCCCTCTAATGAACAATCTTTAATATAAACGGAACTGATCCAGTGCTCTGTGCCCATTGCTACCCCAGCAAACACCAAAAACAGATGGGAGCTTCTTGTTGTTTCCCATCTCTGCACGGATGAAAGTGTTCACCCCACCTGGAAAGATGCTGCAGCCTCAGATTTGGGGCTCCCCTGCTGTCCCCAGGTTGTGGGGTCACCTGAGAGCCTCGGGGCTTGGAGTTGTACTTGTGGCAATAACTTCTGTCTTAAACTCATCACACCCTGAGTATCATGGAATGACTGATGGAAAGCACAAGGGACCTTTTGGAGCAGCAAAGCTGTGGCTCAGCACGAATTCCTCATGAACTCCTCAGACAGAGCAGACAGAGCATTTTCTGCAGCCCCTCCACAGAAAGCTGAATGTTTGCTGCTTTCTCCAAGTGAGCTCCTGCAATGCAATATTTCTCCATGTACATTGTCCAAACCTCTCACAGAGCTCAGGAGACATATTCCAGCTTTCTCATCCACATTTTTGTTGGATTTTCCTCCCTTAAACTGACCCTCGTTCTTTTTCTACTGTTCTCTCAGTTCTACAACTTATCCCCTTTTCCTTTTTCCACTGGGAAACTGAAACAGTTCTCAATTCTTTTGCAGTCGTGTTTCCTCTTGTAAAATCCCTCATTTTTACCACCTTTCTTGTCTTCTTCACCTTTTCAAAGTGTCCTTGTCCTCACTCTGGGCTTTGTCAGGAGGTTGCCAATGTGTTGTGAAAACTTTAAGCACTGTGTTTATAACTAGAGTGAATGGGTGTAAATAAGATTTTGCTAGCCCATGTCTGATATTACATGTGACAGGGGATATTCCATCCACACGGGATCTGTCAGCAGTGCCACTGTGGATTTAGCAAACTTCCCAGGGATTAGCTGGCTTGGAGTGCTCTGCTCAGCTCCTGCCCCAGTGTATCTAGGAAATTATTAATTCTCTCTTTATTTTTAGTTTAAATAGGCAATAACTATGTTTTCTCCATAATAATCAGTGTAGGATGTAGATTAATGTTTTTATCATAAGAGTGGAAGTAAAACAAAATGCAAGCAGAATTCCTCAACTTAAAAATGAACATTGAAGAAATAGAATTTCTTAAAGATGTTTGGAGCTGGAGAGCTGAACTTTTTTGAGGGGAAAACAGTAAAATAGCAATGCAAAATATACTTTCTAGTGCAAACTGAAGTTCATTCTCATTATTGTCTTCTCCATTTGTTCTGGTTTGGATGTCTCTTCACTTCCCCTCATCGCCTCTCATTGATTTATTTGAAACAGAAAGATTAACTTCAAAATCCTCATCCCACAGTTAATACTGGGGAAGTTCTGAAGGAAAAGTCTCCCACTTCTTCTCCTTTCAGGCACAGGGGATGGCAAATCATTCCTACAGCAATATTCCCAGCTCCACCCTTTTTGAGGTGAAAATAAATACTGGAGAGTAAATTGCCAATTCTGCAGCACAGAGAAGTTTAATTAAATACATTTGAATGTTCTCAAATATCTGAACTTTATTTGTACTTCTGTAATCAATCAGTCTCTCTCTGCTATTTCACTTCTTTGCTGCAAGAGCGCAATGCTGAGGGAGTGCAGCTCCAAGGGAGCTTTGGTGGCTCTAGAACTCCAATTTTCCAACAGGACTGTGAAGGAAAAGGATGGCAGAAACAGTTATAGTGCACCTTCTTTTAAAAACATCCTTTTTTAGCTGTCTTTTTGCATTGGAGAAATAAAGCAGCTCCATGAGCTGAACGTGCCATGCAAACACACCGTCAGCTCGGAGCCCTGCTGACATATTTTTGTTCAATAAATCCCCAACTTTGTTTTTAACTAATTTTTGAATGTAAAAGGCAAAAAAAAAAGAAAAAAGAAAAAATAGCACAGGGTGCTGGGCGAAATGCTGAACACAGTAAACACCTTTGATGACAAAGACCACAAACAGCCTGCAGATCTGCTGGCAGTAGCAAGTCCTGGGCCCCCTGCTTTCAATAGTTAACAGAGGCCCCTCTCTCCCCAAGCCTCACTGGCAACAATCACAATGTTCAAATGTTGATGAACGTGCCATGCAAACACACCGTCAGCTCGGAGCCCTGCTGACATATTTTTGTTCAAAAAACCCCCAACTTTGTTCTTAACTAATTTTTGAATGTAAAAGGAAAAAAAAAAAAAATAGGCAGCACAGGGTGCTGAGCGAAATGCTGAACACAGTAAACACCTTTGATGACAAAGACCACAAACAGCCTGCAGATCTGCTGGCAGTAGCAAGTCCTGGGCCCCCTGCTTTCAATAGTTAACAGAGGCCCCTCTCTCCCCAAGCCTCACTGGCAACAATCACAATGTTCAAATGTTGACATGCTAAGCACATTTGGAAAAACCCATGTCTGCATTCCCTGCGGATGGTGTAGCACCAGTGTCTAACACCTAAAGAGCAGCAGTGGAAGCCCAAGTGACCTCCTCACCCCAGCCCTGCCCCTGGGCTCTCCCTCGGTTTCCCTTTGTGGGGCACTGGGGATGGAGCTGGGCCATAATTGTATTTACAGCCTGCCAGGCTTCCTGTCTCCTCTGGGAAATGGTTGGGGAATCTCCTCCAGGGGAAAAAACAGGTGTTGGAAGAGGGGTTTGTGTCATGCTCCTTCATCCCCAGCTGAGCCTTCGTGGATTGTAAAAAGCAGCACTGGTTGGAGAAACGTGTCAGGAAAGTGAAATTCTAGGGAAAGGGTGGAAAAAATGTGTCAGGAAAGTGAAATTTTGTGGGAAAAATGTGCCAGAAAATTGAAATTTTGGGGAAAGGATGGAAAAAATGTGCCAGGAAAGTGAAATTTTCTGGAAAAAATGTGCCAGAAAAGTGAAATTTTGGGGAAATGGTGGAAAAAATGTGCCAGGAAAGTGAAATTTTCTGGAAAAAATGTGCCAGAAAAGTGAAATTTTAGGGAAATGGTGGGAAAAAAACCATGTCAGGAAAGTGAACTTTTGTGAGAAAAAGTTCACAGAAAAGTGAAATTGTGGGGAAATGGTGGGAAAAAAACCATGTCAGGAAAGTGAACTTTTGTGAGAAAAAGTTCACAGAAAAGTGAAATTGTGGGGAAATGGTGGGAAAAAAACCATGTCAGGAAAGTGAACTTTTGTGAGAAAAAGTTCACAGAAAAGTGAAATTGTGGGGAAATGGTGGGAAAAAAACCATGTCAGGAAAGTGAACTTTTGTGAGAAAAAGTTCACAGAAAAGTGAAATTGTGGGGAAATGGTGGGAAAAAAACCATGTCAGGAAAGTGAAAATTTAGGGAAAGGATGGAAAAAATGTGCCAGGAGAGTGAAATTTTGGGGAAATGGTGAAAAAAATGTGCCAGGAAAGTGAAATTTTGTGGAAAAAAATGTGCCAGAAAAGTGAAATTTTGGGGAAATGGTGGAAAAAAACCCATGTCAGGAAAGTGAAATTTTAGGGAAAGGATGGAAAAAATGTGCCAGGAGAGTGAAATTTTGGGGAAAGGGTGGAAAAAATGTGTGAGGAAAGTGAACTTTTGGGGAGAGGGTGGAAAAAACATGTCAGGAAAGCAAAATTTTGGGAAAAAGGGGGAAAAATGTGCCAGGAAAGTGAATTTTTGTGGAAAAATCGTGTCAGGAAAGTGAAATTTTAGAGAAAGGATAGAAAAAATGTGTCAGGAACGTGAAATTTGGGGGAAAGGGTGGAAATAAATATAACAATTTGCTGCTGGGGGAGAGATATAGAGAGATGTAATGGATTAGGATTGTTGTGCTGAAGGTTCTGAACCCTTAGCTGAAGAGGCAGCCAAGGATTAGCAGATTTCTGGAATGAAACCCTGAAATTTGATTGTCTGGAAATGCACTATTTTCACCTGAAACCTGCCATCCTTTCCCTTCTTTCAGGCAGAGCAGTCCCAGAGCTTTTGCTGTGCCACTTTTGGCCAATTTTCAAGGCCAGCTAATCCTGACATGAAAAAGGGCAGCATCCATCCCATCCTGTGCTCTGAGTCACACCAGCAGCTCTCACACCTCTCTCCTGGCTTTTTTAAAAATTTTATTCCACAGGAATTAAAAAAAAAAAAATTTTGACACAATAAATTATTTTGACATATAAATGATTTTCTGTCTGTATGTGATGGGGTGCACATGCCCAGCAAAACTTTTTTTAGGGGTTTTCAAATTAAAAGGGCTGAAAAACCTTTGCAGCTGGCTTTTAAATTTTGCCCAGCACTTGTATATC